AACAGTCACACTTCCTGCCACCCACCTCTGTGCCTTTTAGTATCACCTGAGCCTCAGGGCAGTGGAGCAGAGCCTTCCTCCTACTGCAGGCCTTTGAAGAGGGGCTACCATTGGACAACAGCTGAGAACCCTCTGAACAAGCCCGCCTTTCATTCATCCATCAAAGATTGGCTGAGCACCTAGTACCCGGCAGGCACGTGCCAGGCACTGTGAGATATTCAGAGGTGTTTATGCCACAGCCGCGGTCTCCAGATGTTTATAACCTTGTAGAAGCAGTAAAGAAACCACACGATTAGACTAGAGTTATATATAATACGAAATGGTTCTATAGGCGGGGGATGAAAGCTGTAAAATCTGGACATGGGAGAGCAGTTCCAGTCCTGCTTCTGATTTGCAGAATGACCTTGGGAAAGTCATCGCACGTCTGGGGCTCTGAAGTAGGGCTGAAAGTAATCTACACTTCTCTCCTCTGAAAGTTGTTGTGGTGAGGCATGGAGGGGAGGGTGTGTGGTTCAAACAGGGTAATGGTTGTGAAAGGTCTTTGTAAACCACCGATTCTTGGGGGAATGATTTTGCGCCCCCAGAGGACATTTGGCAAAGTCTGCAGACATTTTATGTTGTCACCTGGGAGGATGCTACTGGCTATCTAGACGGTAAAGGTCAGGGATGCTGCTAAATATCCCACAATGCACAGAAAAGACCCACACAGAAGACGTGTCCAGTCCCAAATATCAGTGATATGGAGGTTGAGAAATCCTGGTGTGAGCTGTATAGTACTGGGAGGGTGTTTGTGATTGTAATTCACTGCCCAGAGCCATGGAGGAGCTCTAAGGAGACGGGTTTTTGACTATTTAAGGGGAGAGAGGGATCTTTAAAAGCTGGGAATCAGGGGGACACTTCCTGGAGGAGGTGGGCCACATCGTTACCTGCGTGACTGGCACTGCACATTTGGGCTGGCTCTGCCCCATCCCTGCCCCAGGGAGTTGTGCCCAGAGTGTTGGGCTTCACTCCACCAAAGGCCAAGGGAGATATAAACTGCACCCCCGGCCCCTGGGCAAGCAGGCTCAGGGGAGCTTGGCCCGAAGTTGCACACCAGTGGGGACTCAAAGCCAGTGGAAAGCATGATGCGTCCTTCACTGCCCCCAGGGCACTGAAAGGTGCTCCCAGCAGCAATTCCTCTGTCCGACATGATTGGCTTGTGAGCCAGGCTAGGTCTTCCTGACTCTGGGAGGCTCCTGCGGGGGCCCTTGTTGAGCAAGGGGGTTGCAGCCTAAGATCCTACCTGTGTTAAATCAGTGGATCTGGGTGGGACAGACTGGGATAAACAGGGCTTGGGAGCAGCAACCTGAAGGCCCATTTTCTCCACCACCCTTATCAATAGGGACGCGGCCCTGTAGCTCCCTGACAGCAGCCCTTGCTTCCGGCAGCTGCCATGGCTGCCATTTCCATCAGCGTGCCTGGCCCCTTACCAGTTCGCCACATGCATGGGTTCACTCTTTCTTGCCAACCACCATTGTGCACCATTTGCATCAATGGGCTCCATTTTACAGATGAGAAACCCGAGGCTCAGAGAGGTTAAGTAACCTGTCCAAGGTCACTCAGCTGGGCACAATGAGCTGAGCTCAGTTGGATCTCAAAGACCCACTTCTTGGCCATGCCGCTGGCCTGCCTCTGAGTGCAGCATGGGCTCCCTCCCCTCACCCCTGGGATTCTGCTAGAGCCCCACTACCCTCCTCTGAGAAATCCACAATCCTCAGACCTTAGCTTATTTATTCCCTAACCCTCCCCAGCACTTCCATCTGGGGTTCAGAACGATCTGCTGAGGACTGTGGCCCCGAGGGAGGAAGGGGCCACCCAGTATGTGGCCCAGAGCTGGGACTGGAACCCAGGTGTCCTGACTCCCAGTACAGCCTCAGTGCAGGGAAGAGGGGACATTCAGAAACATTTCTGAGCTCAGGTCTGTGTCAGGGCAGCCTCCTTAAGGGCAGAGTCCCAGCCTTCCCCCAGGGACTCTTCATCCATCCGGCCCTCCCTCAGTGGTGCGAGCCATCACAAGCTGTCAGCCGGCTCCTCCGGTGCCAGACAAGAGAGTCTAATCAACAGCTCCCAGCTTCTCTGGGCCTGCCCAGGCCTCAGGCTGCCCTCCCAGCTCCAGGCTCCATTCTGCCCAAGAGCTGCACGCGGCGGGACACCTGGCCTCCCCACCAGGCCACCCGCCCTTCTGAGACAACAGATAGCCCTGGCTCTCGCCACTGGCCAGCAGACCCACCCTGGACTGAAGCCTGACTCCAGGGTATTGGGAGGCGAGTGGAACCTAGACCTTGCTCCTCGGCAGGTGCTGTCAGCTATCCTCTCAGGGCCAGGCCTCCTCATACTTCACACTTGAGAAGACACAGTGCCAGCCACCATGCCTGCATGGACACCTGCCTGCCCAGAGCTTTTCCTTCTAGAGGCAGCTTTTCAGTCAGACACCTCTGGCGTTTACCAGCTGGGTGACTTGGGCAGTTACCTCTGCAATCCCCAATCTTCTCGTCTGTAATGGGATGGAAACGTTGGGATTTAGATAATGCTGTGGGAGTCATCATAATAATTATTATTGTTATGATCCTACAGTCTTCAGACCAAGTCTCCCTCTGTGCCTGCTCGGGCTCGCACTCAGCTCTTTTCTCTCACAGCCATAGAGCATGCGCCCCGTTCCACTCAGTCGTGGTTTTATCATGTCTTTCTACCTAGACTCCGGGCTTGTGGGAGGCCAGGCTGTGACATCCATGTCCCCCAGAGCTGCCATTCCTGGCCAGCTGATGGTTCGATAGAAGTTGATAAATATTGGACCCAACCTTGGTATGTGCCCAGTGTCTTCTTCATACCCTCTCTGGTTTGGGAGGGTCCTGGGAAGCCTGTTGTTCCTCTTGCCTTGGGCAGAGCAGAGAGACCCTTGGCTTGAAGCCGGGGGTGGAGCAGGAGTGAGCTGGGTCATCCAGAGACCTGCTTCGTGGCAACCTGAACCATCACCGTTGCAGAGAACAGGTTTGCCAACCTCTCTTCTCCTAGGCCGCCCCTCCTCACCCCACCCCCAACGGCACAGGCAGGAGAACTGAGTTGTTGGAATTCCCCATAGTTTGCATGATCCAAAGCCGAGGTTGCCTTCCCGGCTGGGATTTTGGGGGTGGACATGGGTGAAGGTGAGTGGTGATGCCACCGGGCCATGCTGGCTCCACTTTGGGACAGCTTCAGGGAAGGGGGTATAGGGTCACCGCCTGGGAGTCAGAACACCTGGGTTCAGTTCTCAGCTCTGAATTTGGGCAGGTAGCTTCCCCTCCCTAGGCCTCAGTTTCCTCATCTGTAAAATGAGTCAAAGATGAGATGCTCCTGAAGGACTTCCCACTGCAGATGTAGCTGTCTTCCATGCAGGCCTGGGCCAGACGCTTGGACTGCCACTTTTTATTCTTTGTTTTTTGTGGCTTTGGCGGTGCTGGGCAGGTGAGACCCAGTTCTTGCTCCTCCTGATGCTCAGATCTGTTTTGGAGACGCGGGCTCTGAACCCATGCATTCAAGAACCAGCTCCAGGGACACCCAGGGTCCTCCAAGTCCAAATCAGCTCCCTCCCCAGCTCTGCGACCCAGGCTCCATTCAGGGGGTGGCCTGCAGGGGGGCAGTGGGAGAAGGTGGTAGTGCCCTGCTTTCTGTACACTCTGCCACTGCTCCTGAAGTGTTAATCAAATTAAGGCTCCAAGAAAAACAAAAGCTCCGCAGCCACTTCGGGCTGCCTTGGAGTCGTTTGCTCTCGGAACAGCTGGGAGAATTCTACATCACCTCTGTCCCCCAAGCCCTGGGTGGCTCTGACCCCAACGAACACACTCCTTCCAGCCTGGAGGGCTCTGGCTGGCCACAATGACCTCATAGCAACAGCCATTGGACACTCGGGGCAATTTCATGAGAGATATTTGTTCTTTGGTCTTGATGCAGAGAGAATTTTTTCCTCTCTCCCTGTCTCCATGGAAACCCCAGCTACACTGTTGGCGATCCCCCTTCCCACCCCATGCTTTTCAGATCAATATTGGAGCTTGGCTCCCCACTGGCTGCCTGCAGCGGATGGTGGCAGAGCTCTGGGCAGGAGGAATTGGGGCCAGGGTTAAGTGCGGGGCATGGGGAACCGTCCTTGAGAGGGGATGAAAGGAGTGCAGGTCCTCTTGCTCCCTGTCCACCCACTCGCTGGAGCTCATCCCTTTAGTCTCCCTCCTCGCAGCAAACCTTCCGCCCCTACCCAGGGAGCGCCCTGAGCGCAAACCCAGTCAAGGAGAAACAGACAGGTCACCAGCGGTTACCACCCCTTCCTCCTTAGGCTAGACACGGGAAGGTGGGGGGCCGTTGTCTTCTTTAAAGTCTGGACGGAGTTTCTTCCTGCCCCAGGGAAAAACCAAGGCCCGGCCAGCGCCGGAGCCAGCCCCGGGCCCTGGGAGACCAGGCGTCCTGGTCCCTTCCTTCTATCTCCGGCTCCCGCCCCCCAAGCAGAAACAGGTCCCTGCACGCCTCCAGCCCAGCCCGCAGCGCGGCGCAGCTCGGCGCGGGGAGCTCGCTCCGGACTTCTCGGGATTAACCTGCTATTATGTCCCAGAGCCCTTCCCTGCAATGGGCTTCCTCGGCGACCTGTCAGCCCGGCTGGACTGCACCCCGCGCCCGGCGCCCCTTCCGGGCCACCGCCCCGCGCTCGCACCCCTGTCGCCCTCGAGCGCCCCGAGCCGCCTACCGGTGCGGACGCCGCCGCCGCCACCCCTGACGCCTCTGAGCAGGGAGCCGGACCCGGGCAAGAGGGGACCCCGGGTGTGCAGAGGGACTTTCGGGCAGTGGCGGCGGCAGCTGAGCGAGCGAGCCTCCGGTCCCGCGGTCGAGACACCTGCCGGGCTGCCCCGCGCCCGCTGCCCCGCGCCGCCTGGCACCGGCCGCTGCCCCCGGGGCCTGCCCCGCCCCGCCCCGCCCCGCCCGGCCCCGGCCCGACTTACAGCCAGTTGCTCGCGGCGGCTGAGAAGACGGCGAAGACGAGGAGGCGCAGCGATCGCAGGCACGAGCGGGGACTCATGGTGCCGCCGCGGGCGCCCGGCCCGGGACAGCGGCTGCGGCCGCGGGGGGCCTCCCGTCGGGGCGGCAGGTGGGCGCCCGCGGGCGGGCCGGGGCGCGCGCGGCGGGGCTCTGCCTCCGTGTGCCTGCCGGCAGCCTGCCCGCTGCTGCGCCCGCTGCCCGGCGCGGACCAGACTGTCAGCGCCGCCCCAGAGCCGGGATGCGGCGGCGGCGGCGGCGGCGGAGGCGGGCGGGCGGGCGGCCGGGGGGGCGGGTCGGGGGCGGGCCGAGGATGGGGTTACCTGGGCGGGCCCAGCGGCCCGGGACACCCCCCCGGGGGCGGGCCGGAGCGGCTTGCGGCTGCCGCCCTAGCCCGCGGGACTGGGCTGCTCCGGGGGCCTCCCCGGCTGGGCGCTCCGGAGGACTTGGGGCCCGAGCCCGCTCCAGGCACGCCTGGCTGCGCGCCGCCGAGCCCGGCCGGGCTAGAGGCGCGGCGACCCAGCTGCCCGGCCGCCGCCCGGGCCTCGGGGACAGGCGGGCACAGCTCCCCCAACCCGCCGCTGCGGGCACTGCAGCGCGGCCCTCACTGCCCCCCAAACCTCCCACCGCCCCCCGCCGGCGCCTGGGAGCCCAGACCCCGGTCCCACCGCGACAGACCCACCGGAGCGCGGCTGCCACTTGCGCGCACCCAGGCGCTGGCGCTCCGGGTGCCTGGGGCTGCACATCTGGGCGCTGGATGTCTCCCGGCCGCCCCCCGCCCCGTCCCTCCCTGCCTCCTGGCCCCCGCGTCCTGCGGCCCAGCACCTCCCTGGCGCTCACCTCCCTACAGCTTTCCGGGAGCTGGACGGGGCCTCCCCAGCTTTGGGCAGCTTGGGACAGTGGCCAGAGACTGTGGGAATCCGAAACCTCGCGTCTGGCTAGCCACAAGATCTGGGCGCGCCCCAGGCAGCAGGGTCTTGACTCTGAGCCTCAGTTTTCTCATCCGAGAAGTGGGCTTAAGACGCTGCGATTGGGAGGACAGGAGGAGTTTAGGCAAGCTCTCTTGGCCCACTCACCAAGTCTTACTTTGCATTTGGTTTTCTATGTGCTTGTTCTATTTATCCTCCCATACCAGGCGGATTCAGCCTCTTGCTGGTTTCGGGCACAGGGCGGTGGCTGCCATGTTTGTGGAAGGAATAAATGAATGGAACGGAATGGGCTGCAACAGCCTGTGCTTGGCTAGTCCAGAGAGCTCAATTCCACACCACTGTAACCCCTAAGAATTGTCTGCCCAAATCCAGGCCACACCCTCTCAGGTCACTGATCTGATTCTGTGTGCTACTCATCCTCCAGGCTGCATCCCCCAGTTGCTCAGAGCTAGAGGGACTCTTACCTAAACAGTAAAACTAAGGTCCAGAAAGGGAGGGACCTGTCCCACCTCCCTAGGGGTTGGGAACAGAGGCAAGGACCAGGTCCATGCCCTCACCCCTGACCTTAGTTCTTCACTGATTTTGGAGTATGAAGTTTGCTCCCACAGAGGCCATCATGTTCGAGTGCTGGGATGGTGCCCTCGGGTCCCCTGGGCTCAGAACAGAGGAGGGGCTCAGTAAACATTTGGTACTGGGACTGGGCGGAATGTGGCAGAGATTTGTGGGGCTGGGCAAGAGTACAGATGGAGGTTCATGTACCATGTGTCCAAATATTTGCAGGCTATAAATCAAGCTAACAAAATGCAAAATAAAATATGTTCTATTCTTCCATCTTGATAAATACACTTTCCTAACAAGGTGGAAAGCTGGCTTTGGGTGTGGCATTCTCATACTCCTCAGACCTTGCCCTGGGGCTAGTGGCACAGGGAGAGGGGACCCCTAGTGCCTGGCCTGTGCCCCTGCCCCCTACCTTTTCCTACCTCTGCCTCTGTCCTGTCCTTCAAGGGTCTTGTGCACACTCATGAACATCTCAGCCTGCACATGCAAACTCAGCCCCTTGGTCGCCCCTCAGGCTTAGGGCTGGGCACACCAGTGGTGCACTCTGTCCTCGGGCTGGCTCTGGGGAAGAGACCCACACAGATCCTGGCAGTGGGCCAAGGGCCATCTGTGCAGGGAACCCCAGAGGCCTGGGCACCCAGAGTGTGCTCTAGTGGAGGTGGCTTAAGCTCCAGGTGGGCATGTCCCCTTGTCCCATGGTCTTCCCTCTTTGTGATGAGAGGTTAGCTGGAGAAGGGCTAGACTGGGGGGGTCCCCAGGGTAGGGGCCACTCTCACCTGGGTTTAAGGGTGGTACTGAAGTGCTGACCTATTTTGAACCAACATATTCACTTCCTGGAGACTCAGTGTGGTATGGTGGAAAATAATAATAACAACAATAATAATTTAGATGGCAACAGGCAATTATGTTAGGATGGCCGTATAATTTTCTTCCAAACCAGGATGTTTTCAAGAGTGACGGGGGGCTCTAACTGGAAGATTTGCCAGGCTACCAGGCATAGACCAAGACTGTGCCAGGCCACCTAGGATGCCTCATGCCCCTCAAGTGTTGAGCCCTGGTATGTCAGGCACCGTTCTAAGTGCTTTACATGCTTTGACTCATTCAATCCTTGCAACAAATCTAGGAAGTAGGTACTGTTGTCACCCTCATTTTACAGATGAAGACACCAGGGTGACTTTCTTAAGGAAAACGGTGGACCTGGGACTCCAGAGCCACATCCCCAGCTCCCATACCACCTTGAGCCTGGGACTCAGGTGTTTGGGCTTAAACCCCTGTCCCAAAAGCACATGACACTTGACTTTGGGAAGCTGCAGGACCTTCAGTTTCTGTATCCATCAGGTGGGAACAATGTTACTGGACTCGCCTTCTCCTGGGGTGCTGGGAGATGCATATGAGTGGGTGTGAGTGAGCCCCGTGAGCAGGACCAAGCTGAACCCAGGAGGTAGAGAACTGGAGCCACCAACCGGAGTCTCTCCCCAAGCTGTGATAATGGAGAGGAGGAGCCCTTTGCTCTGAGTCAGTGGAAAATCTGTTTTTTGTTTTGTTTTGTTTTGTTTTTTTGGAGATGGAGTCTAGCTCTGTTGCCCAGGCAGGAGTGCAGTGGCGTGATCTTGGCTCACTGCAAATTCTACCTCCCAGGTTCAACAGATTCTCTTGCCTCAGCCTCCTGAGTAGCTGGGACTACAGGTGTGTGCCACCACGCCCCGCTAATTTTTGTATTGTTTTTAGTAGAGACGGGGTTTCACCATGTCTCTACTATGTTTTCACTAGGATGGTCTCGATCTCTTGACCCCATGATCTGCCCGCCTCGGCCTCCCAAAGTGCTGGGATTACAGGCGTGAGCCACCGTGCCTGCCCGGAAATTCTTAATGAGAAAGTCTCTTGGAGGAAGTGTTCTTCTAACTTTCAAAAACAGCCCAACTGTGAAAGTGTCAATGCAAATTAATTAAAAAGTCAAATTGTGAATAGCTCTTTAATATCAGTAGTCAGAGTGCGTCTGGTGCTTTCTATATACCAGCCACCGTTCCAAGTGCTTTTCCCATTTGCATTAACTCATGGAATCTTGGCCATAGCTCTAGGAAGTAGATACTGTTATTAGTTCCATTTATAGGAGGGGAAGCCCAGATGTGCCTCTAAAACTGCTGTAAGACATTTTAACAACCCTATCACATAGGTAAATGTTATTCCCATTATACATATGGAGAAGCTGAGGCACAGAGCGTTCAAGTGCATTGCCTAAAGTCACCCAGTTAGCAGCATGGCCAGGGTTTGGAAGCAGGTGGTCTGGGCACTGAGCCAGCACAAAGCTGTTCAATGGACAAAAGTCTTCCACATGTCAGAATTAATGTCTGTGTTCAGAAGGGGAAGCTCATGGGGTTTCTGTAGACTCTTCCTGGGGGTTACTATTAAACCCTCAAAATCCAAGGCAGAGACCTCCACACTGTATCCCTCTCTGTGCCCAGCACCATGAATACCTCACACATAATGGAATCAGAACGTATCTTTCTCGAAGGGACCAATTCCTTAACTTCCTGAGCAGCCTGTTTCTGGAGTTAGTTCTCCCTCCTTAATAACTATGAAAATTCACCGAGGAAGGGAAACCTAGCCAAGTTTTTAATCAGAAAGAATCACATTCAACCTGTCTAAGTTATTGCCAGTTCTCACGGAGTGGGCCCAAAGCAACGTGGTTGGATGTTTCTCCAGCTCAGTCCTGGAAGCAACTGGTAAAAGAGTGTCTGGTCAGCTGGTGACCGGGATTTCCAGTCCAATTTCCCAGATTTGTGAGGTGAAGAAACTGGGGGCACTAGGCTCGGGGTCTAGAAAATTCTTTTTTCTCTTTTTTTTTTTTTTGAGATGGAGTCTTGCTCTTGTCACCAGGCTGGAGTGCCATGGCGTGATCTCAGCTTACTGCAACCTCTGCCTCTCAGGGCTCAAGCGATTCTCCTGCCTCAACCTCCTGAATAGCTGGGATTACAGGTGCCTGCCACTATAGCCAGCTAATTGGGGTCTAGAAAAGTCTTAATGCCTATCCCTGCATTTTTCAAGGAGATAAAAGGTAGTTTTTTCCCCTGCCACTATGGCCTACGTTGTGCTGGGCTTGGCTGGGCAGATCTGCACAGGTGTGTCCTCCAAGGCTGTTCACCCTGACCAGGGAGGGAATGGGAAACCTGGTCAGTCCCAGCCAGCCAGCCATGTATGTGCAGCCCTGGGCAAGTCCTTGCCCCTCTCTGGCACTGGCATTCGCTCCTTAAAGACTCTTGTGGGAATCTAGAGAAGCAGTGAAGTGGACCAGCAAGTTCTGGGGAAGACCTGCATTTGTTCCTGGCCCTGACAGATCTCTTTGCCTCTCTGAGGCTCAGTTTCCTCATCTGTTCGAGGGGATCATAGCAATGTCATGAGGAATCAATAGATAAGGTAGGTAAAGGCTTCTGAGCACAGGGCCCAGCTTCAGTGAACGTTGAATAAGGCTTCAGGGATTGTTAGCGCTTCATCTTGTTCTATGGTTGAAACCAGAAGTTGCGCACCTGTGGTCTGTGGAGGTGTTTTGCTTGGCCTGCCTAGCGTGTTTTCAAGTACATGAATTTATTGATACTATTTCCAGATTGGGAAATTTCACATAAGAAGCTAGATCTCCAGCTTCTCTTGAGAAATGGGAGATTTGGCAACGTGGGACCCACTTTCTCGGGTGAAGAGTGATCTTTGA